TTTCTTTCCTCGCCTTGAACAGCGAAATTCACTGAGAACTGGGCAGCACACACAGCCTTCGTGATATATGGACTGCTTCTTCAAACACTGAGCACAGATAATGCCTCTTATTATCACTGCTTTGTGATTAATGTTGATGAACACATTTAAATTTCTTCCAGTGCTCTGGCTGCCGACTGGCCCTGATGTGCTCAGAATCCCAGCAAGCTGGCTATTTTCCAGGATGCTGCTAGGATGTGTGTGTGTGTTTGTGGATATCTATCTGGGTGTCTCTTTGTTTCATACTATCTCCTTTGCATCTAATCAACTCATCTAGCATGAAACAGCCTGATCCCCAACCTAGTTCATAGGCTCTCAGAAGATAGTGATGTTTAACAGAAAGAAGAAGTATTCAAGATGAAGGTTCACACAAAGATACCTGCCACTACAGTAGGATTCATTCCCTTCAATCTTCCATCACCTTTTCTGATTTATAATGCCTCTTTGTGGGGTCCAGCATTCCATGAAGCAACTTTAAAAGATCTGGGTCTACAAGCCACCTGAAATTTCAGACCTAGGAACTTTTTATTCAAATTGTATCACATCAATTTTATTGCTCTTTATTCACACTTAGAAAAGCCTTTCGGACATTGTTAGTGTTTTCCCCAACCAAAAAGCAGGGGAAGCTAACATGGGACAGGGGAAACAAATCACTCTGCTTTACACTTATCATCCCTGTTTAACTGAGTGCACCCTCTCTGCCTTCTCCAGCTGGGATCAAGAGATCAATTCTAAGTTAATATAAAAATATTGTCAAGGAGAAACATCTGTGGGACAGAAGACTGAAACCCCTTGAGATAGAAATCTCTAATGGTTGGCCATTGTATAAAAAACATTGAAGGCATATATTTTTTGCATTGCTTTTGGTTTCCTTTAGGATTTTTCCATGTTTGTTCTGTTTTGGAACCAAGTGTAGCTCCAGACAACTCCAAGACTTCATTTAATACTGAATGCTGACAGACATTACTGCTGTAAGTTAAGTCTTCTTGATATTAAATGATGTGAAAGGTGGCATGTTGTAGAGGCATTCCAGCCCTTTTATTGATGGGTCAGAATCCTGCAAATAATTGGACCATTAGACACCCAATTTTACCCAGACTTTCCTTGACCAGCAATTTAATTCCCCATGGGTAGCCCCTAAGCTGGGGTGGACCAATTACAAGGTGCCATTTTTGAGTGTCTTCACAGGCGGCTACCAGCACTGGAAAAGCCCAGTGGAAGATTAACACCCAAGGATTATATACTAGATAAAATAACAGAGAAAAATAAAATGTGCATAGTATGACCCATCTCCCCCCACACAGCTTTACATTCCTTGAAAGAAAGATAATTCTAATGAAAACTCATGATTGACACAGGCTTCTTTGTATGTTCTTAATTGTAAGCACATACAGTTTCAGTACCTTTATAGATAACAGTCAACAAGTGGAATCCTTTGATTTTATGCCCAGTCCACTCTCTGCTGGCCCATGGCTCCTGGGAGAGATCTCTTTGTTGTCGGCGCCTTTTTTATAGAATTACTTTTTCATTTTTCTCCTCATTTTTTACCATTGAGTTTATTTAAAGCAGTATTAGTACTTTTAGAGCTTTCACTCCTCCCATGATTTTTTAACTTTGGTTTTGTCACTTCATGCCTTTCTATTTCTTTACTGCTACTACTACTACTACTACTACTACTACTACTACTACTACTACTATTTAAAAATACCAGATGTTTTATGCTTTATCTTGTTAATGGGACACAGAGCTTTGGTTATTGGGCAGTATAGAAATGTAAAACAAATGCAATTTTAAAGTGATTATATGTAAAAATTACTGACAGTCCTCGGGTTCATGCTAGAGTTCAAATTCTGTTGCCAGATTGGAGAACTAGGCCAGAAAATAACAAAATCAATTTCCAATACTGATAAATGTGAGATACTGTATCTAGGCAGGAAAAATGAAATGCACAAATATATATTGGCTAACAATATGTAAACATGAAAAAGATCTGAGATCATAGTAGACCACAAGCTAAACATGAGAGGTACAGTATAATGCAGAAGTTTAAAAGCAAATGCAACCCTGGACAGCATCAACAATTGTATAGGATCCTGATCAAGGGAAGTATTCGTGTCACTTGTTTTTGCATTTGCCCTAAGTTATCTATAATATTGTGTCAAGTTCTGGGGACCATACTTGAAGAAGGATTTTGATAATTTAGAGACGAGAAGAGAAGAGAACCAAAATGATCAAAAATCTGAAACCAGACCTTAAGGGGATGCCTTAAGAAGTTGGGTGTGCATAGCTTGGAGAAGGGAAAACTGAGAGATGTCATAATAGTTATGATTAAATATCTGAAGGATGTAATGTAGAACAAACTTATTTTCTGCTATTTCAAAGATTAAATATGAAACAGTGGTTTCAATTTACAAAATAAAGAGAGAAGATTCTACCTAAACATTAGGAAGAATCCTTTTTACTGTGAGTGTGGTCCAACAGGGGAATATATTTCCAGAAAGGGTGGTGGATTCTCCATCCTTTGGGGTCTTTAAATAGAAAATGAATTGACATCTTCCAGGAGTGCTTTAGTTGGGTATTCCTGCACTTGATGGTATTTGGGTTCCAGTCCAGCTTTAAGATTCTATGGTTCTATAGACATACTTGCTTGGTAGGATAATTGTAATAAAGATGGATGACAGATAGGCCAGCAAGGACCGAGAGGACAGAGGGCACACCCACACCCACACACAAGACAGGACAGTGAGAAGCTATCACTGTATAATATATATTTCCTTGCTGCCTCCAATCTATTATTAAGGTTTCTTTTGCTGCCACCTTTTATTGATTCATAGGCCACCTCCTTCACTAGAATGTTCAAGAAGACACAATAACTCTTCAGATGAAATAAAACAAGAATATGTTGTTTATTTTGTTCTTGAACAGTAAAGATGTATGGTGGTTTCAGTGATCTATCAGGCTTTAGTTGTACAGAGAATGGTTTTATATCATGAGTTTCTTAAAAACAAAGTTCCACACACAGGAATACAAACAGGATATTTTGAACCTTTTGAATCCTATTTCCACACCAGGACTCCAAAACTATAGAGGCCTACTATATTTCTTACTCCTTCTCCCTGAATACTTTAACTATTTTCCTCAAAGACGTATCTTTCTAACAATAGTTCCCAAAACTGTTCCCAAAACCCACCCACCCTCCCTTCCCTTCCCTTCCCTTCCCTTCCCTTCCCTTCCCTTCCTTGTAAGGTAGGTTAATTCATTACAATCTTTGCAAAATACTCTTAAAATATGCCATCCTTACATTTGGATTGAGAATATTTCATTTGTTACTAGTGTTCATGCAGAATCATTTCCCTTTCCTGGCAGAGTTTTATATTTTGTTGCTTATATTGTGGATGTTCAGTGATATGTCAGGGATCATTTATAATAATTGTTTCTTAATTGCCTCTTGGGCACCCTGCTGTAATACTGTTTCTGTATTGCTAGAGGTTGTCAGGCAGCAGCTTGTGTGTGTGTGTGTGTGTGTGTATTGTGGTGGTTTGACCAGTGCTTGTGTTTGGCTATTGAAGCCTTTCTCAGACTTTTAATCTGAACCTTTGAAAAAAAATTCAGACATTAAAACTACAGCTCAAAAAGTTTTTTCCCCCAATCATAATCTCTCTCAGAAGTTCTAGATCCATCTTGCTGAAGTTCATGGATTCCAGAGAAACCTGATTAAGAGACCCTGAGCAATTGTGTTACATATGTTAAATATGTGCCCCCAACAGTGAAAGTGAGATACCAAACTCCAGGGCTGTCTACTGACTCTGAGCTGGCTTTTTGACTTCAATAAAGTATTGTGGTGATAAGGATATGATTGTGGAGTAGGGGCGATGAAAGGGGATCACAAGCACTTGACAGAATGATTTAAATAGCTTTGTGCTATCACTTCATCTTTGCAGACATCATCAATCAGATTAACATCTGTTTGAGCAAGGAGGTGTGAAAGGTGACACAATAAGAGCAAGGAAGGGACTATGAGTTTCTCAGGTGTGCTAGATGAAATAATGGTGTCCATCTTCATAAAAGACATTTATATCATTTCTGACATATTTTAAATAACAGTATAATGGAATTGTGTTGATTCAGAGTTTGGCATGGTAGAACATCAGTAGGCCATATGGGTAAACTATATGTTCATATGCTACCACTGCAATGACCGTAGAAAATGTACATAACTTTAATGTAGACAATATATAGAAATAGTTCAGGATTTTCCATACATTAGTTCAGTCATTAATCCAAATAGAGACTGCTGTCAAGAAATCAGAACAAGAATAGGACTTGGAAGGACACGTATGAAAGAACTAGACAAAATCTTGAAGTGTAAAGAAATATCATTGAATATTAAAGCTAGGGTTGTTCATGCCATTGTATTTTCAATTTTGCTGTATGATTGTGAAAGCTGGCTAATGGAAAAAGCTGATAAGTGGAAAATCAAGTGATTTGAAAGGTAATGCTCTAAAAATGTTCTGCAGATACTGTTGATGATTAAGAAGAAATAAATGGATCCTAGAGCAAATCAAGGTTGAGCTCTTCCTAAAAGCCAAGATAACCAAACTGTCATGCTTCGAACATATCAGAAGAAGACAAGATGCTCCAGAAAAAAAAAATGTGTGGTGAGGTAGAAAAGAAGAAAACTGCATTCCAGATCAAGGCTTTATAAATAAAGCAATGGATCTGAGCCTGCAAGACCTTAGCAGGGCTTTTGAGGATAAAGTTATTTGTTGGAGGTCTCTCATACATAGGGCCTTGATATTGACTTGGCAGCAATTAACGGCATTTGTTTTTCCTCTGATACACCAATAGATTGAATACATTCCTTTCCAAAGTTGTTACTTGGCACTTGAACTCTGTAGCCATAATGCTGTTCCTTGCTGTGGATGTATCTCATTCTCTGCCTGTTTGCTTTCCCACCTCAGATCTCTCGCAACCTTGGAAAATTATACAGTGAAATGATCTTTGTGAATGGTTTTGTGCACTGTGACCCACACCCTGGCAACGTGCTGGTAAGGAAGTGCTCAACTACAGGCAAAACACACATTATACTTCTGGATCACGGACTTTATCAGGTAAGTAGAGGGCAAAAGAAGCAGATTATGAGAATCTTATAGCCAATGTGGAGGGCAGTTACAGGACAAGAGGTATTCCCAGGCAAGATAGATTACCTGGTAAAATCAATCTGACAAGGTGGACAACTACAGGTTCTGTCTTTCCAACTAAGCCTGGGCTAACAGAATGTGACTCCTTACAACCTGTATCACATTTTACATGACAAACCAAGGCTCTAAGATAAAGTTGGAGCATTGTGTTGGGGACCAGGGTCCAAATTTCTGATACCTGGACTGTACCAACCTCTTAAAGACAGGAGGTAGGGGTGAGAAAGGCGGTATATAAATACTGTAAATAATAATAATAATAATAATAATAATAATAATAATAATAATAATAATAATAAATAGTAGGAGAACCCTGGCACATGGTTACAAGATGTCTCATTTGCACAATGAACATGCACTCTGGGATCTGCTGTAAACTGCACTTTGGATTCATAGCTAGCTGAGGAGTACTGGTGCTAACAAAAAAAGATGGCATTTGTTCTCGAATGTGTTCTATTGCATTAACAGTCAATTATTGTGTGCCTTCAAGTCATTTCTGACTTATGGCAAGTGTAAGATGAACCTATCATAGGCTTTTCTTAGCAGATTCGTTGTCAGAATTTGTCCTTTCCTTCCTCTGAAGCTGAGTGTGTCTGACTTGCCCAGGGTCACCCAGGGGGCTTCCATGGATTTGAACCCTCTTCCTCCAGTATTCTATTCCATGCAATCCACCACCAAACTAGCTCCTAGAAACAGTTAGCTATCTCATTGTGAATTGAAGGAATGGCCATTTCTCATTCATATTTACCACCTAACTCAAGTATTGTTATCAAAGAGATCTATCTTTAATCCATTATGTAATGCAAGCGTTTTATTGGACTGTGCCTTTTCTGTTTCATTTTCTTTTTCTTTTGTAAAGAAAAATATCTTCTCTCCTCAGGTCTTGACAGACAATTTCCGCTTGGACTACTGCCGGCTTTGGCAAGCCCTGATCAAGGCTGATATGAAACAGATACAAAAGTACAGTCAGCGACTGGGAGCTGGTGACTTGTACCCTCTCTTTGCTTGCATGCTCACTGCCAGGTCTTGGGAATCAGTCAACAGGGGGATTGACCGGTTGCCAGTCACAGCTAAAGAGGTACAACTTTTGATTTCATTATTTAGGAGAATACTGTGTTGATGAATGGTATACGTTTAGATTAATGGAACCCAACATAAGAACCCAACATGCTGCTTTATAATAAGTCAGATCATTGGCCAGTCTAGCTCTGTATTGTGTACATTGACTGAAACTGCTCTCAAAGGGTCCATACTACGAGTCTTTCCCAGACCTGATTTCAGAAACCGGAAATTGAACAATAGTCCTTCTGCATGAAAAACATGCCCCTGGTGGCAAAGTGGGTTAAACCTCTGTGCTGGCAGGAATGAAGACTGACAGGTCGCAGGTTCGAATCCGGGGAGAGGCAGATGAGCTCCCTCTATCAGCTCCAGCTCCTCATGCAGGGACAAGAGAGAAGCCTCCCACAAGGATGATAAAAACATCAAATCATCCAGGCGTCCCCTGGGCAATGTCCTTGCAGACGGCCAATTCTCTCACACCAGAAGCAAATTGGAAGCAGTTTCTCAAGTCGCTCCTGACACGATTTAAAAAAATGAAAAACATGTCTTCTACTGTTGTGCTATGGGCTCACCTCAATTCTTTATGTGGAAGAACCTATGGTTCTGAAGAGGAGGAGAACATAACTCATTGCTGAGGCATATTTTAAGTAGGAATGTCTATTCCTTGCATCTCTGGTTAAAAGGCAATCTAGTCAAGGCTTGAGACCATGGAATTGTGGATTACAGTTGATTCTACTGAACTTAACAGATGACTGGTGTAAGGTAGTTTCATGTGCTCCCCTGGCTGGTTTCTGGATGTGCAAAAGAATATGCTAATTTTTAGAGGCTGTGGAGAAACTTCTGTAGTCACACATGAAGTTCCATCACAACTCTAAATTCACTTGGATTCTTGCAGAATGAGAGGGGGAGGCAGTTAACATCTGACCCGGGAACATGAGTGGTCAGTATCGCTGTACTATCAGTTAAAGTGGTATTTTATGTTTACTTTTACCATATGTTGCAGATTGATAGATGCCTGTACAAAGTATTCTGAGATTAGCTTTAGGCGCCTTCTGATCTGTTGGATTACATGTGACACCCTTCCCAGCCAGGATAGACAATGGGTATTTTTTTTTTGCTGAGGATTAGGGGATTTATAGTCAGATGCATCTGGGGGTCCCACGTCAGGGTTGGCTGCTCTATATATGGCTTAGAGAAATAGACACAGCTAGCACTTTCAATATGAACCACTTTCTTTCTTGTTTCTCCTACCCTTCCAATGTCACTATGCCAGGATGTGGAAATCAGGACCAATGCTGCTGCTTACCTACCTCAGATCACCAAGCTTCTCAACAATGTCCCTCGCCAGATGTTGCTGCTACTGAAGACCAATGATTTACTGAGGGGGGTTGAATCTGCACTGCAAACACGAGCCAGTGCTAGTTCTTTCCTCAACATGACTCGCTGCTGCATACGAGCAGTTTCCACGTGAGTTCCTTTTCCCATGAGACTTGATCCCAGGATGCTATTTTCCCCAACATTGGGAATTTTGTGTGTATTTATGTGTGATGGGGAAATCGACACCCTACACACTTAAAGGTCCTCCATGGGCTTGGTAGTGTCAGGGGTCATGGCCTTACACTTTGCTGATTTCTTGATTTTGCACATGGACTTTTTTCCTGGTGAGGAAAGACTCTACACAATGACCCTCCATCTCTCAACCAAGTGCAGAAGCAGTCCTGCAGTTGGTGCCTGATTTAGGAGGCTGGTGCTCGCAGGCTTTCTTCAGCCAAGTAAAGCTGACTTCCTGATAGAAGCATACTCCTGTAGCTTTTGCATGGATTGAGATGGTTCTAGCTGCTGAATACCTTCTTCCAGTTCAGAGGCTGTGGGGCAACATGTGCTTCTTGTTCTTACTCGCAGCCACAGGGAACACATACAATGATGGCTGCAACAGAAATAGAAGAGAGACAAGAATGCATTTTTGACTATTGCCTAGTTCAGTGGTTCCCAACATGTGGTTCATGGACCGGCAGTCGCCTGCAAGAACGAAAATATGGTCCATGGCCTCAGCATTACTACACTGTTGCCTCAAAACCATGTGGAAACGACAGTGACAGGTCTTATAAAACCCTCTTATAGTGCCGAGGCAATGGAGATGTTGGGAGGGGAGAGGCTGACTACCCATGAAAGATTACTACTACCACATCAGCTCTAGATTATTAAATATGGTTTTCTGTAGGCGAGTAGATGATGACTATTGGATGGCATATGTTCTGTATCAGAAACTAGAGCTGATGTGGTCTATCCAATGCAATTTTCTGAATCAATACTCCAAATAACCAAACCGAACTAAAGTTGACCAAAAACTGATTCGTAACACTTTTAGTACTAATGTTAGAGAGTGGTCCCTGGTCAAAGTGGTCCGTTGTAAAAAAAAAAAGGTTGGGAACCACTGGCCTAGTTAGACCTGTGGAGCAAATGTCACAGTTAAGCCTGCTAAGTAGGTGGGGATGAAGAGTGATCTTTTCAAGCCAGAGTAGGCAACTGTAGTGGTAGCCAATGTTTTCACTCTTGCACCTACAGTGGTCAGCTGAAAATGGAACCTGGAAGCCATGTTTGAAAGTAACATTTAAGTTTTTCATGGTATTTTTAAATTTGTGCATTTAAAACAAATCTTCTTCTCCTACAAGCTTACAGGATCCATAACCAAGCCTTATCAGGAACTTTTTTTACATCTAAACAAATGAATGATGTGTGAGACCTTCAGTGTGTGTGTATGTGTATGTACAAAAAAGTGTTGTGACTACACTTCCTCCATGCTCTGCTTTAGGCCCAAATGAAAGCATACACACACACCCCAACAGACACTGTAGATTTCTGTTGTACTCCACCCAAATGCCTGAATTGGTTTCCAGAATTTTGGTCCTCCAGTTGTTTTGGATTTCAACTCCCAGAAACCCCAGCTGTTGTTGTTGTTCATTCGTTCAGTCATCTCCGACTCTTCGTGACCTCATGGACCAGCCCACGCCAGAGCTCCCTGTCGGCCGTCACCACTCCCAGCTCCTTCAAGGTCAGTCCAGTCACTTCAAGGATGCCATCCATCCATCTTGCCCTTGGTCGGCCCCTCTTCCTTTTACCTTTTACTTTCCCCAGCATAATTGTCTTCTCTAGGCTTTGCTGTCTCCTCATGATGTGGCCAAAGTACTTCAACTTTGTCTCTAGTATCTTTCCCTCCAGTGAGCAGTCGGGCTTTATTTCTTGGAGGATGGACTGGTTGGATCTTCTCACAGTCCAAGGCACTCTCAGAACTTTCTTCCAACACCACTGTTCAAAAGTATCTATCTTCCTTCGCTCAGCCTTCCCTAAGGTCCAGCTCTCACATCCATTGGTTACTACAGGGAATACCATGGCTTTGACTATGCGGATCTTTGTTGCCAGTGTGATGTCTTAACCCCAGCTAGCTTGGCCTAAAACTGCAAATTCTTGGAGCTAAAGTCCCAAACATCTGGACAACCAAAGTTTGGGAACAATTAGTTTATAGGGAATACTTTTCTGTTGCTCTCCCATTGGAAGACTGCATCCCTATAAGATTTAATGTGCTTATTTTTGTATTTTACCTAGGTATCAGAGAAGCAGGACTAACTCATCGTACAGAAAAGCACAGATCTCTCTCTCTGAGGCCATGAGCTTGTGGCAGATCAACTTGTATGAACTATTCCTCCGTCTGAAAGGATCCCAGCTGGGGAACTGGGTCATTGCTCTCTTGAGCTGGATGCACCATTCTTCATAGTGACATAAACTGGTGGGAGGAACCGGGCTCAATTTCTTCCTTGTCTCTTTTGACTGTACCACTCTGTTCATATTTATTCCGCTGGAGTTTTCTGGGTTCATTTTCATGTAACACATGGTGCTGTCTTTGTTGCCTTGTGCAGGGTCACTGTTTCTCTGGCACAAAGAAGGGGAAAGTGCAAAATAGCAGCCACAGCTCATGGGAACCAGAAGTCTTGTTTCCAGACATAGTTCAGGGAGGTAGTTGCTTGGAAAGAAGGCTGCAGTATTCAGGTCTTTTGGATGGTCTCCAAGTGGAGTCTAAAAAGACTTTAAAAATGCTAACTTTTTTATGGGTCCAGAGTTGTTGTTGGTTTTTAAAAATAAAGTAATGAAGAAAATCTTCTCCAGTCACAAAGTCTTGACCATGTAACTTCTGCAAAAGACCAGCAAATTTCTAGCATCATCCTACAATAGGCTCAATAGTTATCATAATCTCACCCAGTATTACCAAATTGGAAGCAATTTGCAGGGTACTTTAGTGGGAAGTCTGCCCTGTGCACCTGCTGAAAAGTACAATCTGCCGTCCACATTTGGTAAGGTATAGAACCTCTGTGAATGTGAAAAACTATGAATTAAAAATTAATTCTCTCTAGAAATCTAAGGTCCTCCATGCCTGAAGGAAGTTGACCATAGCGTCACAGTGGAGGACCTAGAGAGAACTTTCAAAATCTAGTCTATGATTAATCAAATCAGCAAAAGCCAAAACTACAAATATGGAGGGACGACTGTCCACCTTTTCATCCCCTTTCACCTCTGCTTTTTTTAAAAACAAAACAAGAAATTAAGTGGGCAAGATTTTAGAAGCCATGAGGTCTGAGTAGTCAGAGCTTGGAAAAGTTACTTGTGGCTTCCAGGAGTTAAGAGTTCAAATTAATAATTGTCCTAAGCTCTATGAATGTTACTCCCAATTTGGAGAGGTTCTGCAATTAAGGATTTGGGCTGAGGATCTCTGAGTTCTCACATCTGCCACAACTTAAGTGCAAGTTTTGGACCTTTCAGGATGCTGTCTTTGCTTAAATGCCTAGTGGTAAAATAGAAGCAGAAAGACCAGCCTGGTTTGGAAGTGTTCAGAGAGAAGACACACGGTTGAATGGCAACATATTATTGTCTCAGAATCATTCACAAGTCAAGTGCTGGTTACGTGTGTGTATACTGGCAAGAGGAAATAAAACCGAGTGTTCTCCGTGAAGTGGAAAAAGAAGTCTGTCTGCCTGCCTGCTCTTTTTGTTTTCTAGCATTCAATCTCCTGTAAGCAAACTGTCACTCGGTGATGTTGACAGTGAAATCAGATCTCTTCAACAGCTTCACAGATGTGCAGATGTAAGAGGCTGCTTTTGTGCCCAGACCACCTGGTGTTTTCAGAAGCTATTCAATACTTTCTCATAAAGGAGCAGATTTGGGGAGTATCCACTGTTTTTTCCATTGTTGACTCATTATTTGTTTATTTATTCCCTGGTTTGTTTTAAAAATGATGCAGATGATATTCCTCCCCAGAGAACTATTGGATAACAAAACACAAAAAGGGCATATTTTCATTGAGCTTAGTGTTCCAAAATGTTCTGAACATGGGACCAGCTCTATCTGAAAGGGGCTGTTAGGAATTGTTGGAGTTGAAGTCCAAAACACCTGGAGGGCCAAAGTTTGCCAATGCCTGGTATAAATGGTAAATAAGGCCCTATACATGTGGATAAGTAAACATTTATTTATTTATTTATTTGCCATATTTGTACCATATTCTCAGCCTGAAGGCGACTCAAGGCGGTTCACAGTCGGCAGCAATTCGATGCCCCCAGAGATATAAAATACAATTAAAAACATTTAGCAAATAATATAAAAACCATATAAAACCTATAAACCAATAAAACAAGGGGTTCATATTGTACTTTTTATTTTCCTGATTTCATTATCAGTGTAGTACAATTTTATTTTAATTACTACTGTATATTTTATCTTAAAATTATCCTAGGGAGGATAGCAGAGAGTTATACTTGATTTGATGTGATTTTTATTCTTACTTTCAAATCAAGATCCAAGGCAGCTCACAAATATGATTGAAAGCAGGTACAAATAAAAACCGTAAAACAACATTAAGCAGTCATAGCATTGCAACACATTTACATTTAATACAACTATAAAAATACAGCTATTATAAAATGAACAATGCAGCTCCTCATTCAGTGCACTTATAGCAGCTAGGCTGTCAGTTGCCGAAAATCTATAGGAATAGGAAAGTCTGCCTCTTAGCAGAAGGGCAACAGGAAGAAAAGGGGAGGCTGGTGAAATAAAAGATCAATTGTTATAATCCATAATAAATATTTTTAAAAGAAAAGAAAGAAAATTCTTGCAAACATTTTGGAAGAAGGTTTTGAGTAGTGTCTAAAAAGTCCAAATACTTTTGCTTACTCATGCAGAGCTTATTTGCGTTGGTTGTTTCATTTCATATATATGCATATTGCTAGGAGTCACAATGGCGCAATGGGTTAAACCTTTTTGCCAGCTGAACTGCTGACTTGAAGGTCAGGTGTTCAAATCTGTAAGACGGGGTGAGCTCCCGTCTGTCATCTCCAGCTTGAGAGAAGCCTCCCACAAGATGGTAACACATCCAGGCATCCCCTGGGCAATGTTTCTGCATATGGTCAATTCTCTCACAACATAAGCAACTTGCAGTTTCTCAAGTTGCTTCTGACATGATAAAAAAAATATTGCTGGTTTTGAATAATTTTTTTCTGGAGTGGACAGCTGCAGAAGGCTAGAGAGCCACACTAACCCCATAAGAGAACTTAGGTGGTCACATTTCATCTGTGCTTAAATTAGTCTGGTGTATCTAAACAACAAAAACAACAACCTTTATTTGTACACTGCCCTATCTCCCCAAAGGGACTCAGGGTGGTTTCCATCATATAAGGCAAACATTCAATTGCCGGAAAGAAAACCATACAGATAATTATATCAAAATAAACACATTCAACAATATAACACAACCTAATTTAACTTAACACACAAAATAACAATAACTAAAAGCATAATAAAATACTAAAAACCTGTTAAACATACTAATATATATATATATTAAACCCATTTCATTGTAGCTCCATCAGGAGAGGTTCAACAAACCAATGGCCAGGATTACAAATGAACGTGGCGAACTATAAAAGAGCTGGGCAAGGGATAGTGCAAACAGCATCTCATAGAGCCATGGAATAGCTGAGTGACAAGTCAAAATTAACCAACTACTGGGCAAGAGTAGAGGATAAGATTATGTAGCGTTATAGCTAATGATGTTTCACCTGAAAGGTCATTCAGCTACTGAAATGAAACAAAAGTCTGAAGCTGTACAATATAAACACTGGCCCTGAATTTGCAACACTGGAGTAGGGCAATTGATATGATCCCATAAACATCAACCTTAAAGAAAAAACAGCTACATATTTCAGTACCATGGGAAGCTTGGTCCTTCATCTTTGAATTCCTCTGGGGAGAGAAATATAAATAAAGTGTATGTTATTTTATTATGCATTGGGTTGTTATATGTTATGACATATGTTCAATGTGCAAAAGTGTTATGTAAATCAGGAATGGGAACTGCATGAGGTCCTCATGGAGATGGAATTCCCAGCATTATTTCACTATTAGCTAGGCTATCTAAAGCTACAGGGTATTGTAGTCCAACTTCTGGAGGGCTACTTGACCATCTTCCTCATTTAAATGAGGTTGAATCATTCAGTTTATATGCCGTATGTGCCCATTAGGTCATGCCCTAGGTGTACTTCTAACAAACTTGTTTGAACACCAAGACTTTCTGTATGAACCATTCAAATTAACGTCTTGTTAAAATTAGTATATTATTTAGAAATGGAACTATTTAAGAATCTTGAGAGTTAAGCTGTTACCCATTTTCAGAACCATGAAAAGAGATATAACCTTTTGCACATGAATAGCAATTTCTAGCAGGTTAGTGTTCGAAAGGGTTTCTGTAATAATTTCCCAATCTTCAGATTTTGGGGTTGACTCTTCAAAGTTATCTTATGCTTTTCTGCTCTATATTTCCAGATAATCTCTTTTTTTTCCTGGCAAAGAGCTTTGTTCCAGATAATCTGTCACTTGCATGACAAGGCCTTGCCCTTAAGGGTTAATTTCCCAGGGACGCTGATTGACATTTCGATGGTTGGTTCCATGTGCTTCTCTTGGCTCCCTCTGCTGGCCCAACAACATAAAGCCTACTGAAGTCAGCAGTACAAGGATTGAATGAAAAGTAATGCCTCCACCTTTGTTACTTGGGTTTGGATGGGAATATTTTAATAAATCAAACGCAAAAACAAATCTTAAAGAGCACATAACTACCACTATTCACTTTTCCACATAATCACCAGACAATTGGATACATTTCTGCCAACAATGAACAAGTTTTCCGAAGCCGTCACGGAAGAAGTCGACACTCTGTTTCTGTAACCTACCGTGCTCTAATCTTCCGATAGCTAAGCAAAGCAATAATGTGAAACACATGTTCTTGTGAAATGCCGATTGTGCTTGAAATTTCTCTCTGAGTGATATGATGATTGTCCTGAATCAATCTGTCAACCTTTTGCTTGTGAAACTCGGTGGTTACTGTCACAGGACATCCAAGGCTTTGGTTGCCACACAAGTCAGATGTTCCCATCTCAACGTCTTTAAACTTACTCGCCCAATGACACACAGGATTACTAATGAATGTGGCCAACTATAAAAGAGCTGGGCAAGGGATAGTGAAAACAGCATATCACATCAACACAATCACCATAAACAGCTTTCATTCTCTGATGAATCTCCTTTGGGGTGACACCTTCTGCTATCAAGAATTCAATGACTGCACTTTGCTTAAGTTGCATTGACCGACCGTCTGTGCAGGGTTCCATACTTCGCATTTTAACAACACAACTGTTCAATGTTAAGGCTTCCCGCAGAAATGGAACTGTAGAGGTGAGTCTATTGAACAAGCCAGTACCTGCCGCATACCAGTGCTGTCATCTGTTGAGGAGTTACGAAGGTGGAGATATTACTTTTCATTCAACCCTAGTATAAACAAGTTTGCAAGACTTGGCTGTATTGGTGCATTAACAGTGCTTTCAACAGAGAGACCTGTGCAATTTCTCTTATTTCTTTCAAGTCCACCTCAAAATTTGGCTTTTCCAGAATGCTTTTGGAATCCTCCCTTCTTCTTTTCCCTTGTAGTTTAGCTAAAATATGGGTAAATGAAATAATCATAGGATTGATGTGAGTGTTTCGGGTTGTATGGCCATGTTTCAGAAACATTCTCTCCTGATGTTTCACCCACATCTATGGCAGGCATCCTCAGAGGTTGTGAGGTCTGTTGGAAACTAGACAGGTGAGGTTTATATATCTGTGGAATGTCCAGAGTGGAAGAAAGAACTCTTGTCTACTCGAGGCAAGTGTGAATGTTGCAGTTGGCCACCTTGATTAGAATTGAATGGCCTTGTAGCTTCAAAGCCTGGCAGATTGCTGCATTTTATTAAATAAAGATCAACACTAAAAAACAGGGGAATTCCATACAAGAATCAATCAGGGCCAGGCAACACCTCCCAACAAAGGAACCCCCCAGGCAGCAATCAGCCAAGTTGGCCCAACCAGGACTGGTAAATATGGCCAAAGGAGCCAGAATAATTCATACTTATACTCCAGTGCAAGGCTTCTATTTCACAACTCTCCAACCCGATCTATATTTTTAACTGGGGAACATGTGCTAATGTTCTCTGTTCCACATCAAAGAGCCATGGTCTCATTTGATGTCTGTAAGGTTCGCCTTAGGGCATTGCTCCTTCAAGATCTTAGATTCTGGAGTCAAACTCCTTCAAATGCATAAGTCACTCTTTAAAAATATTATAAATATTCAAAGCACATAGGACTTAAAAAAACATGCATTCACATTATATTTGTCACAATATATTAACTGATTAAGCATCAAAGAGAATGCTTATACTGCACTAAAAATTACACTAACAGCAGAAAAGAGTTATAATGATATCAATAATTTTTTGTACTCATAGACTCAATAAAGCTCAAGATTGCTGAAAATATTATTTTCCCGCTTCTCATAGGTATGCCATTTCTTTAAGAGTGGGCTTAATAGTTATACACCAAGCTTGATTCAGCTATTTCTTTTCATTCGGTAGTTTATCTAATTGCCTTTCTACCACTATTAAATTT